TATTCTATTTACAAAAAAAAAAAAACAAAAAACATCAATAAATTATTTTGTAATTTAGCTAATTGCTCATTGGCTGTCCAAAGGTTAAGCTCCTACTAATTATAAGAGTATGCAAGTTGAGCAATGCATTTATATGTGCTGCTCTACAAATCACAATAAACACACTCACGAGTTAAGCTTAAGGTTAACTTATAAGTATAAGAGTACAACTACATAAGCACCGGCTAGTAATCAGACTTAGAAATATAAGAGCTCTGAAGCGTGTGCTATAAATTCTATTCTCATTCTCATTCTCTCTTTCTCTATCTCTTCATATTCAAGAATTCACGATTGAGTGACTGTGCCGATCAAAACGAGCGAGTGTGTGCGTGTGTTAGTATATGTATGTATGCTACCCTATACATCTCAGCCCAGAGTTAAATTTATAATCATACAAGTAAAAATGAGTGTATACCTTTGTTAATTTTGCTTCAACTTATTTTGGTAATCGACTGGAAGTACATGCGTTACCATACGTTGGTAAATGCTTAAGGATTCGTTGTTTTAATTGCTACCACATAATTTCCACTAACCACTAGGGCAATTGCAATTTGCTCACATAAATATATCGCGAACTATTTTGGGCGCGACCCTCCACAAATTTATGCTGCACACTTAATCTAAGCTGTCAATGCAAACAGAAACAACAACAACAGCAGATGCCGAAGCAGAAGCAAAAACTCTGCTGAACTAACGTAATTGGTGCCCATTACGACAAAACGTAAAAATCGCTCAGTGTTACGTTGCGCATTGACCAACACCGGCAAGCGCACATATGTGAAGTCGTAAAGTTTTCGTTGCATTCTCAAGCCTTGCACATTTTCGTCTTCGTCTTTCGTCCACGTCTTTGACTTTTAATTTATGTTTCAATTCCAATTAGCAGACGAGGCGCGTGGAGAAGCTTTTATGCGAGTTCCGTTAATTGACTTTCGGCCTGGCAATGGCGCGTCATTTGTAATTGTATACGAAAGGGAGACGGCAAGGGAGATGGAGAGCGGTCGAGTGTGCGAATGCACGAAGAGCGGGGAGAGTCCGTGTGTGGAGTGAGCGCAGGAGAGTGAGTTTAAGTGTGCACGTTTATTAGGCTAGCCAATGCAGCTAATTGAAGTTCAAATTGTGCTCGGGCGTTGAGTAAGGCGCTTAGCGAAAGGAAACCGTTGAAATGTAAGCGCATGTGTGTGTGTGAGAGAGAGAGAGAGTGAGTGTGAGCGAGGAACTTGAGAGCGAATACAAAGGCGAATTCGCAGCAAATTCACTTAAGCGACGAAAAAGCAACTAAAGCCAATTTAACAGTCAATACAAAGGCACACATATGCACATACACGTATACATATACATACACAAGCTAAGGCTGTTAAGCGCCCACACAATCACATGACGATTGTAAGGCAAACGGAAATAAAATCAAGCATAAATGCAATAATACAATTTATGTGCCAAATTTCATAAGAGCCATAATGGACTCACTCACACACACGCACACTAGCGCATATACACAGAGAGAGACACAGGACACACACAAATCAAGCAAAAGTCATCAACAAACAAAGGTGACTCCTTGCTGAAAGTTGGACGTAATCGTAATCACATTTGTGCCTTTGCCCAGATCCTGAATGTTGATGCTATTTATGTGTCATTTTCATTGAGCGCAAAACTTTTGCAGACGGTCAAACGCAACAATGTCCATTGCCTTGCTCCCCTCCTACTCTCTCCTTCCGTTCTCCGTCTCACTCACTACTTCGCTGCAAGTTAACAACATTTGCTTTACGTTTGCCAATTGCATTATAACTCAATTGTAGCTGAGCGATTTTTATGGTATCGAATGGATGTATCGAATCGTTTTCTTCGACTCGCCTCGAGTGCCGCCCAGCTATTGAGTGAGTGTGTGTGCAGCAACAACGGTACTTGAAATGCTGAAGAGACGATAACAAAAGCTGTTGGTGTATGGAAGTGTGTATACCCTTGAATGAATGTAAGCTAATATGGAAAATTAAAAATAAATAAAATTAAATTAAATTAAATGGAAAAATTTTATAATTAATAAATAATAAATAGAAATAATAAATTTATTAACAAATTGTGATTCTACACCATCCAGGTCGAAAATCGGCCGAACTAAAAAATCAGAGTTAATGTAGTCGAGTTAGATTTATGTATAGTTAGTTATATCTTATATCTTGGGTATAGAATTATCTTGGTCATATCAAGGGTATATTAATCTTGGGTATATCAAATTTATGTGAAATGCTAAATATAGCATATAGCTTAAAGCAGTAAATAGCATCGAAAAGCTTTAAACTAAACCAGCTAGAACTTTTCTTAAATTTCCAGCTATACCTGAACTTCAGCTAAAAGAATTTCCCACATAAATAAGAGTTTGGCTTGAAACATGTATGTGTGTAATGTCTGTATAACATTGTTTTGCTGCCCCAGTTAAAATAGATATATACACGTTAGAGTAATTGCACAATTGGCATGCAAAGACATTTGAAAGCAGTTGAGGGCAGAAGCTGTCGAGATGCATTCACAATTTGGGCATCCTTAATGCATCTCCGATGGGCCATAAATTGTGACTGGGCTGTTATTATATTTTGGGCATGGGCACGCCGAGCTTGAGGGCACTTCAGAGCCGAAATGCTGGAATGTGGAGCAGGTGCGCCGGCGACCTCAGACATGGCCAGCTGTAGCTCAATTGCCGTTATGCAATGCGGCCGTAAGTGTGCGGCACGCCCTCCATTTGCTGTCACATTGTGGCATAAATTGATTTGCCACGATCTCCGGCTAGAAATGGATTTATGAAAGTCACGCAAAAGCCAATCGCATTAGACGTAACGCTTCGCCCACAAATTGGGCCAACAAAAAAAAAAAAAAAAAAAAAAAAAAAAAAAAAGTAAATGATAAAGATATGAGTAATTATTGATCGAGTTAATGCGCATTTATAAGGCCTGCGGGCGGCAGCAATGGGCAAACAGTTGCTCGACTTCCCTCACAGCTCAAACATGTCTCGCGTATGCCTCTCACTAATCTCAGCTCTGTTGCTGCTGTCGCCCACCTGGGCGGGCATTGGCTACCTGGCCGACGAGCACGCCGTGGCGCACACCCAGCAGAATGTGGTCAGGAGCTACGACGGCACCGTCTCCCACTATGCCAAGTCCGTGTCGACGCCCTACTCCCAGGTGCACAAGCAGGACACACGCATCAGCAACAATGTCTACCAGCCAGCCATAGCCAAGACGATCAGCTATGCCGCTCCAGCTCCAACTGTCTATGCATCGCATCAGCCTGCCGTCTACAGCCAGGCTCCAGTCTACCATCAGCAGCAGCAGCAGCAGCAGCAGTACCAGCAGTCCATTCCGGCTGTCCAGACCACCTACGCCAGCCACCAGCCCATTGCGGTGCACTACTCACCCGCTGAGGCGGTCTCCCACATGAGCTTCGATGGTTTCGGCACCCACTGGGGATACTAAGGAGGCAATTTCAAATAGTTTTAAGACTTTTGCATTCAATAAAGACATTTTTAAATATGTGAGAGCGATTTGCTTATGAAGACTAGTAAATACCCTATCTAATATTTGGGGAATATATAAAGAGCGGAAATTAGAATTTGAGCTCCTACTAGAACACTCTTTAATATGTTATATATAACTACATATAACTACACAGCTTCCCCATACTATTCCTAGCACATCTAGCTCTCTTATTCATCCACTTAAGAATCTCCGCCAGAGATCTCTCTGACTCTTAATGTGTTATTTAATAATCGTAATCTAGTTTTTATCACAGTTCACGCCCGGAGTCGGCGTCGGAGTCGGAGTTTTCGCTCACGTCTTCGTGTTGCTGTATATAAACAAATCATAAAAATCCACACAAAGTGCTGCACACTACAAATAGCCTGAAGTAGGACATTAGCTTGGCTCTTCTGCTAATGCCACGCCCACCAACTAACGCCCCATCTGTAACCACAGCGAACGAACGAGCAGCAGCAGGAGCCTGAATGGTCGGGTTACGTGATTTGTGCAGCGCAAACTTAAAAATCGGACATGAACGCAACGTGACTCGCATGGCAAGCGACGGTCGAGGGACTCGAAGATGGAGGCGGAATCGGAAACGGAGCGAAGGACACAGCAGCAACTGAACTAATCGGATTTCTTTTATGTGCCTTCGGCGTGTGAAAGGGGTATATGGGGTTGGTACTTAAATCGAGCAGAGGATAATAGAGTGTAAAGATTGTGGCAAATTGTGAATATATTTAAGGATGTCTTATTAAAACTCAACTATTATCGATGAGCTGCAAAATCGGTAGAGATCGATTATAATCGATATCGCTATGAATATTGAGTTCTTTGGCAACTTGCCACTCGCACAAGCGAGCATTACGCAGTCAGCTACACCCGACTGCAGCATCTTCACTTGCTTCTCTCTATCAGCTCTCAATCAGAACTTTGCCTCGTTATGAATTATGCACATTGGCGATTGCAGGCAGCCAGAGAAAGAAAAGCGAATCGACCTGAGATTCTGAATCTATAAATTGAAATCACATTTTTGCTAGCTCATTAATTCGATGCCACTTAACTTGAGCTAACAAAGAGCCAAGAGTCAATTTCGTCTCGTAGTCTTGGCATAAATGATGGCTCCATTAGATGGCAATCAGCTGAAAGAACTTCAAGTGAAAAACTGCCCAAAAAAAAGGCTCAAAAAGGCTGAAAAACTGTGCGAATTACATTTCGCTTGAGTAACCAAAAAATAAAAGGGAAAAGAAAAATGTTGTAGCTTGCAACAAAAAAAAGTATGACAAAATTTTGCGGCTATAAACAGCGCTTAAATGCAACAGTCAGCGGCAGCAGCTGCCACGTCCTGCTCCTGCTCCTGCTCCTGCTGCTCCTGCCTGAGGTCCTGTCGCGCCACTTGACTGCAGAAAGGCGCAATGATAAAATATTTGCTGGCTAAAAACTTGCCAGCTAAGTGTGTTTGTTGTTGCGGCCAAAGTTGAGTGGCAACCGCTACTCGCCTGCTTCGCCTCCTGCTCCTCCTGCCCCATGTCCTTTGGCTGCCCGTCGACAGGAAGTTGTGAGAAAATAAAAATGCAAAATGCCCAGTAAGACGTATTTATCAACATAATTACATTTTTTAATGGCTTTTTAAACCGCAAAATGGCAAAGCCGCAAAATGCAGATAAAACTGGAGCAGAAGACTAGAATATATACTAGCTAAACAGTGTTGTTGTTGTTGTTGTTTTCTACTTTAACTATGTTGCTGCCGCTTCTATAGTGTTTTGCTGCAAAATGTTTGCTAACTCAATTAGCCATTTCAGCGAATAGGCTTAGTCTTAATGAAGTTATTTTCAGTGATAATTACCTAACTGTATCTAAGCACAACGAACTGTAGTTAAGTATATACATATATAACTAATGATGACTATCTATATATACAAATAGCAATTGACACTCTTAGCCAAACTGCATTGACAACCAGAAACTGCAACTCACATCAATGAGCACAATTTTCCATAAACAACAAGTAATAATGTTGTTGTAGGGCGCATCGGACTGCCCAATACTCGTTCAGAATCAGTATATACAGTGAGATACGCAAATTAGTTATTGTTTCAAATTCAAAGCCTCTAACTTCGATCGCTATGAAATTAATATTATTTACAGCACAAATATCTCCTCTCCCATTGCCTGTGCGCATAAAAAGCTCAAAGTGCAAAGCTGTGCAAAAAATGTATCCGCAAGAGAGCCTCTAGCATAAGCAAGAGCACGCCGATCCACTCCTAAAGAGAGCTTTTGCAACAGAGAGCTTTTGCAAAAAAATACATATGTTGAGCGTGTCTAAAAATAGATTCTTGGTGAGCACAAAGAGAGGCCGAAATAAGTGTGGGAGAGGGAGACAGATAGGAAGAGAGAGAGCCTAAATTACGATTAAGTCAACATGTGTTTGATACACACTAACATGTCGAATGTGAGCTAAAGAGAGTGTGTGCTAGAGGGAGAGGATGAGGACGAGGCCGTGAGTGTGAGTGTGAGGGACCCGTAAAATGAAATGACCTGCGCTCAGTTGATGCTCGCCATTAACAGTGATCGGTTCTACGTTTATCGCTGCAAAAATATATGTATACAAAAATTTATATACATATACATATGTACATATATGTATAAGAATGCGTTTTCGTTTGCTGACTCACTTGCGCATAGTTGGGCCGGCAAACGCATAGCATGTCGGGAATCGAGAATGGCCTCGGAGTCAAGTTGTGCGTGCTAATCTTATTGATAACGCACCTCCATCAATCGCTGGCACTGGGCACCTCGGGCGTTGACGCCTTCAAGCGACGACTGCGTCGACAGGTGGCGCTGCCGCTTCAACTCGATGACTACCTCAGCTACGATGAGATGCTGGCCTACATGGCGCAGCTGGCGAGGGCGTACAGTGATCGCGTTACTCTTCAAGATGTGGGCGTAACGTACGAGCAGCGTCCACTGAAATCGCTAACGGTAACTAATGGCGATGGACGCGTTGGCAAGAAGGCGATTCTACTCATAGCCGGGGCACATGCGCGCGAATGGCTAACACCTGTTGCCGCCTTGTACACCTTGGAGCAGCTGGTGGCCAGGCATGAGGAGAATGCGCATTTGCTGCAGGACTACGATTGGATTCTGTTGCCGCAGCTCAACCCGGATGGCTATATGTTCTCCCGCACTGTGGACAGATCGTGGCGCAATACGCGTTCGCCCAACGGCAACAATTGCTTCGGCACGAATCTCAATCGAAATTACGATATTGAGTGGGGGCAGGGCTATGCGGAGCTACAGGATTCCTGTACCGATCACTATGCGGGTCCTAAGCCCTTCTCCGCGCCATAATGCAGGATTTGGTCCAGAGCAATCGTGGGATGCTGTTCATGACGCTGCATACGCATCACACAACCATTTACTATTCCTGGGCACACACGAGGTAGACATAACCAAGGATCGATTCCGACAATGAGATAAAATCTTTCTCTTCTAGTGCCAGCAGTGCCAATGACAAGGAATTGCACGCCGTGGCGGAGGCTGGAGCTGTGGCCATATTCAATGCGACTGGCACAAGATTCGCCTATGGGCAGTACGGCAAGGAGGATGCCTTTGGGGGCACCAGCTTTGACTATGCCCATTCTATTGGATTTCCGCTGAGCTTTGTGCTGGAACTGTCCGGCGAGCGAGATGGACTTACCTTTGACTTTTGGCCACCAAAGCACCTGCTGAAGGACCTAGCCGAGGAGTCTTGGGTGGGCATCAGTGCCATGGCGAGGAAAGCCATTGAGCTCTATCCACCGACGAGGTCTCTGTCTGTGGCTAAGAATTACTCTGCCTTGTCTAGCTATGATGAAGATACTATTGCTTATGATAATCATAACGGTACTCTCTCGCTGACCAGTGCTGGTTAATGACTTTAAAATAACTTAAATGTTTGTGAATGTATTTCATAATGAAACAAACTTTTGCATATTTGTTGTACAAAGTCCGATTTTAATTTTGTACGTGTCATGTATCTGAAACTATGTATAATATATATTATATA